TAGTATTTCATAGAGTATTAGGATTCTAGGAAAGTTAATGCCTTCCCAAATACAAGAAAGGATTTGATCATTGAAAAATTGGACCGCCATAGTTCGATCATAATGCCTGATTTGTTTGACAATCTTGTAAATGAACGATCCAAATAAATTTTTACAAAATACACATTTTATAGGACTTGAAACACCTTTTTTCTTTAAATCCACCTATCTCAAGGTCGAGATTATCAACTAGAAGGTTTTCTAGCTTCCAACACTCTTTTCTACTGAATTTTTGATGTGCACCTCAGTTTTATGGTATAAGATTGCAATCTTACATAGACGTTTTTTTATTTTTCTATTTATGGAATCCACTTGACATAATTAGTTTAAAAGAGAACTAGATTTTGAGTTCTCAAGCCCTTATAACTAACCAAAACTTCTAAAGGGTGTCTTTTTGGCATTATTTTCAAGACACATAGGGGAGTTCTCAAATTATTACTATTTTATTATTTAATTATTTATCTAGTTGAAGTTATTCTTTCCTAGAAGAAATTACGTCCACAGAATTTTGGAGCATTGAAAGTGTGAACGTAAATTTGGTTATTATGCTCCCGCGGGAGCATAGAATCTTTTGACAGCCACGGTTGTTAGTTTTTCTAATGACAGTGGTAGTTTCGTAATACGATCTGAAAAAATCAAGGCGGGCAGTGGCCGTTTGTCGAGCCGCCCGCGCTCTGTTTCTCAGAACCTGCTCCATTGCTTAAATGACCAAAACTCTCTCTCTCTCGCTCTCGCTCTCGCTCTCGCTCTCGCTCTCTTTCTCTCTCATCTCTCTCTCTAGAGGACAATAACAAGACACTGAATCTCCATTTCCTTTAGCAAAGGAAGAAACCGATCCCGTAAGTCACTCTTCTTCCACTAATTTTTCTCCTTTTTGTGAATCATGCTTTCTGTATCTTTCTCTGGATCATTATTTCTTTTGAATGCTTTTCCATGGTGTATACGTCTCTATTTTGTTTGGGTCATCTTTTAGACTATATCTTCTTTGTTTTTTAGTTCACTGCTTTTTGTTGATTCGTTTCTGTTGATCGGATCATGGGATCAGTTAATTTGTTTTCTTGATTTGATCCCAAATAAATCATGTTTAATGGGTGGTATTACATGGAAATTTAGAGGTTTTGTTGGTCTGCATGCTAGAATTGATGCCTGTTTCATGCATCTTTTTTATCTTGTTTCACGCAGTCATTGGTTTGTTTAAAAATTTAAATGGCATTGATCATAAAAGATTGTTAGTCATTGCAGTTTATTGGACTTGTGATGATTAGTATGAGTGCTTGGAGATAGATTTAGTTATTGGTCTGTGTTACTCTTATGGAACTTGGAACTTGTGATTTAGAATTCTTAGCCATTTTCTATATCAAAATCGTTTATCTTTTCTTCTTTTTTAGTATCACAATTTCAGTTCTTATTTTTAGCTGTTTTTAACTTCCTGTAACCAGTTGAGTTGCTTGTTTCGGATTGACATTTTGGATGGGAATAAACAGTGTGACGGGACTCGATGGAGTTCATTTAGACTCAGGTTAATAGGGTGAGGCCGAGTAACCCTGAGTTGTGCGTACAACTCGGTATATAAAAAATTTTAAAAAATTGTAAAACATGTAGGAATGTTATATAATTTGGATTTTTTTAGCAAAGATTGGTGGGTATATTTTGCCGTAATCTCTTTTTTTATATTTTCCATTTTTTAATTTTTTTTTAAATTTCCAACTGTAAATCAGTTCCTTTAACATCCATTTTTCTCTACTTTTTAAGCTTATTTTAACTTTTAAAAGTTGTTTTTGGTTTTATTTTATTTTTACTACCTTTTTCTAATTTTTCAAAATTTTCCACCTTTTTAAATTTATTTAGGGCCTTTTGGCCTTGTGTAGGACTCGGCCGAGTAACTTGCCACCAAGGCGAGTCCTGGCACACTGGGAATTAATGTCCAATTTGTTGGGCTTGTGGCATGTTATACAGGGTAAGCTTTTGGTACTGTAGCTATAATCCTATAAATCAGAATCAATAAAAAATAAATAATTAGTTACTTTTATTAGTTTATTGACTAAAACCACAAACTTTGATCGGTCAAAATGAAATGAAAGTGAAATATGAGAGCAATACAATCATGTTGGGTCGATTTGGAATTTTGGATGAACATCTTTTTCATATTACAATGACAAAAAATCATATTTCTTGTATTACTCAACTGAAGACATAGGGTAACATGTAACTTTTTTCATTAAACATCGTAGTTTGAGCCAATTTAGATGAAAACAGACTGGCTAACACCATTATTTGGACTTGTGCGATTGAACTGTGGTGTAGCAGGGCCTTTTTGATTATAGTGGTACGTAATTTATTAGGATGGAGTAACCTTATAATGCTATTTGAGTTGTCATGGTATCGAGGACTAGATGGGCTGAATCAATGTCAGCCATGATTGAGGTTTTGATTTTGATGAAAGACTTTGAAGGACTGAGGCCTGTTTTTTTTTTTGGGCGAGTTAGTGGGGAGAGGGCCCCTACCCTTGGTAGGAATTGAGCCTAGGACGTACCGTTGAAAATCATCAAGCGCTAACCAATTAAGCCGGGTACTTGTCGTGACTGAGGCCTGTTAGAACATATGACCATTGATTTTGATGAAAGACTTTGAAGGACTGAGGTATGTTAGAACATATGAAGCAGATGTAACTATGTCTTGTAATGGATGTTGTGTCTCTAAATATTGTAGTTGATAGTAACTATGGCATTTAAGCATGAAATGCATGGTGTGGTACAGTCATAATTGCATAATAATATAACGTATTTGGGAATTGTTCCCCTTTAAGAAAATGGGGACTCCTACATTCTGATACTTCATTTATTCTGGAGCCTGTGAGCTTGAAATTGAATGAGCGATGGCCCTATGTTAATCACTAGCATTCAACTCGCATGAAATATTCTCATACATTTACAGAGAGAGTTTTTGAATGTGATTGATGAGGCTAGTGTTCTTGCAGTAAACTTTGAAAATTTAAGGACACAGTTTCTCTGAGTCGATGTAGAAATGTGTCAACTCTTAAAAGTCTATTTTTGAGATGGATTTTCGGACCCAATTTTCAAGGACATGTAATCTCTAACATGGAGATCATGAATATAAATAAATAAATAAATTTAAGAAATAAAAATAATGATTTTATGAAGAAAACAATTGGGCCGTTAGTTTCAATTGTTTTTAGATGGACCACCTATTTGCATCCATCTTTAAGATGGATGCTTTATACCTTGGGACCACATATTGTAGAAATGCGGTCCAGCCTGCATGAAACAATTTTCCAAAACTTAGTTGATGTAAAATCTATAGGTGAATATCCATGCGGGCCATCTGTTAAATGGCTTTTCAGGACAACACCATTTCTTTTTGCCAGCAGAGTCTCTGGCGGTAAAGAAACTCTTCTATAATGTGACATAAAACCACAAAGGAATCTAATACTTGTAAAATGTATCTTGATTAAAAGGCCTGAGACATGTATTACTATGGTTTTAGATTTTGGAATTTATATGTTGAACAAGTCATGGAACTTGAATCATTTCAAGTGATAAGATAATTGAAATATTAAATATTAATCAAATAGCCCCCCCCCAAAAAAAGTAACTGTAAAAATTAAAAATTGTAAGCATTTGCTGTAAAAATCCTTCATCACTTGTCATTGAATTTGATATGGAACCGTAAATCCTGTTTCTTGATATCTTTTGGATGAATCATTTATGATGGTCACGATGTAGTAATCACTATTTTCTTTTATTGTAAAAATTTGCTTCTTGTAAGTTGATTTTGGTGCCTTTTTTCAACCAGATAAGAAGTCGTGGTTCATAAGTTAAACTTAAGTTTTCATCACTTTGATCATTTGGAAGGCCTGAGCTGAGCATCAAAATGGGCTACATTGGCCATCATGGTGTAGGGGCTCTCCACAGATATAAATACAGTGGTGTGGATAAGTCTTTTCTTGCTAAACATGTCTTACAACCCTTCTGGAGTCGCTTTGTGTCTTTATTCCCCCTTTGGATGCCGTAAGTTATCTGACTTTGGTTAGTTATTGAAGTTTTTATCACTGTTGATTTGATAGTAAATAATATGCTTTTCTTTCAGTACTTTGAGAAAAATCTGCTTTCTGTTAGTAGTTGAAAATTGCCATCTAACTGAATAAGTAATGCTTCACAAGGAATTTCTTTAAATAGAATGTAGTTTGTAATTGCATACCAGATATTGACTTTATTTTACATGTATGTTTTTTTACAGCTTTTGTATGGTTATCTTGTTATTAAGCATTTCCTTTTAAAGGTCATAATAATACTGATGTATTTCCATGTTAACTTTGAGTCAAAATATGGTCCTTTGATCCAATGGTGTGGCAACTGACAGAGGTGAATGGGTCAATAGCTCATTCCATATTTCTTAATGCCTGTTAGCATGGAGTCAGTCAAAATATGGTCATCCATAAGACTTCTTCTCCTCCCCCCCCCAACTAATTTACAATTCATTGGAGTAAACGAAATAAAATAAAAATTTGTGGCATAAAGCCCCTTAACATCTGGCTGTGGAATTCAAAATTCCATTATGGATAAAGATTGCTTTGAGGAATGGATTTTCTTATTGTGTGTAAGGGAACCTAAAATTTCTAGCCGGGTCATCGATTTGATTACCAACTATTAAGGAGTGGTTAAGATGCCTTGCTTAAATGTATCCAGACTTGCTTCACATATGAAATAAGCTCCAGAAATTTCTTTATGATAAGGTCTCAACACATCAAGTGTTTGGCTTAGCCAAAATGAAATATCCAGCTCCAGAAATTTCTTTATGATAAGGTCTCAACACATCAAGTGTTTGGCTTAGCCAAAATGAAATAATTCCATGTACTTAGGAAATTTGAACTTAAAAATTTCAAAAGCAGACCATTTGATCAACTCAGTATCATCCAACAAAGGGTGATTTGGGTAACTTACAGTCATCCCTACATAACGGTTCTCTGGCATTAGAATTCCTATTTTTGTGTCATTCTTTTTACCATAATACAAGCAACATGGAAATTTCCATAATGAAAACAGAAGCTTGAATAGATTATGTTAGTTAACCCTACATCAAGAGCGGTTGGTAAATATGTCGAATTTGGAGTGAATGGTAATGATGGGGTCGGGTTGGGAACATGGTTTAAGAAACCGTTATTAGAAACATAATGGGGCTGATACATTCATTTTTGTTTTATACTGTTAATGATTGTTATTGAGGGAAATCAGCATTCAACCATAGAAATAAAAAGTGGAATGAAAATTGGGAAAAAGGAAAAAATGGGTAAAATAAAGGAAAGAACAGAAAAAAAATTAACTACCAGGTGACAGGTGTCACAATGTGATCTAGAGTTCCATTCTTACCAAGTCCCACATTAACATTCCACACTGGGTCAAAAGGTAATGGAGCATAGTAGTAATTCCATACACCGCTCAGGTTGGACTGCAGTCAACCGCAAAAGCCCACACAGAGCACATCGCAACCGTTGGATCACACATCGGAGGAATCCAAAGGCTCTTGGAGCACATCTTACCACATTTTCCCAGCAACCTCTAACCCTCGGCTCGTTCTCAAATCCCATCCTTTGCAGAGGTCATCATATCGAGTAGCTTTATGCAGCCATGCATCATTCTCCAGCCAAACCCTACCCATGCAATTGCCAGCAACCCCGACAGCTTTATGCAGACATGCGTCGACCTCCCCGATATCTACCTGCAGTCGTGCGCCGCCTCCCCAACACACCCCTCCAGTGCATCGAGCTTGATCCCGGCGTTGATAGGACATATGGTTACGCCCCCATCTCGAACTGATAGGTGGCATTTGTCCCTCGGTCAAAAGTTCTGTTAATCAAGTGTCTCTTCTCGAGTTCCCACCCTGCCCCCATCGACCCTCTCGCCCTTGCCAAACCTCATGGCCACCTCCCCCTCAAACAATCCCTTCATCTTCTCTCTTCGCAAGCGTATGCCCTCCTGGCCCAAGACAGGTTGCTCCTCTAATCCTTTGGCCCCTTACTCGTCTATTCCGATGACCGGAGACCAACAACCTGGTACCACAACAACGACGAAGGCTAAACCTTTCTGCACCTCTACTCGGTGTGTTGTCTCTCCCTCCTTCTCCCCTCTCTCATTGGGAGCCTTGTCCTCTGCATCTCCTGCACTCATCGCTAAAACTCCAGCCTCTGAAACCCCTCCACTCTCTCTTCTCATTACCCCATAGTTATTTTATGAAGAGGACACCTGCCTCTATCTTCCCTCTCCCGTGTCCATCGTCCTGTGCCCAGGTCTTGCAACTTATTCTTTTTCTCACCCCTCGTCTCCCCAGTTCGTCTCTCTCCCCAACCCCAACCCTCCTCTTCAGACTATTCATTCTGTCATCCATGTATTGAACTCCCCTCTTACCCCCTGCAACCCCTGCGTGGTCATTCTCTATCTGCTCAGCCTTTGCCTTTGTCTCCATCCCGTTCCCCTCTAGCCCCAAACCTTAAGTCATCCCAACCTCTCTTTTGCTGCTCACAGGTGGTTTCTGTACCCCCTCCTTCCCCCTTCTCTTTCTCCTCGGTATTAACTACCACCTAACAGGGATCCATGATGCCCCAAACCTGCTTCGAATCTCCTGCATTCATCCCTCATTTGCCGATGGATTCGCTTGAGCCTTGTCCACCTCTTCTTGGCGGCTCTTCCCAGCAGGCCTCCTTCAAAACCCCTTCATCTTCCCCGACCCTCCAACCCTTGATCCTATCCCCCTTAACTCTCTCTCCCACTCCAATCTCCATATTACCCCACTCCAATCTCCATATTACCTCACTCTGCATCGATGTCCTCCCCATTTAAACATACGGTCCTTATTACTTTTCCCAATGGATCTGCTTTGTCTCTCGGGCTGATCTCTTCCTATGGCTTCCCCCCAACTCCTCTCGGGGGTCTTCAAACAGTTCAAAGAATACATCAGCAACATCGGTGGACTCCAGTTCTGTATACAACTTCGACTGCGCCCAAGGAGATGCTCTCGAGGTTCTGAAAGTAATGGATTTCAAATTCAAGGGCCCTAAGAAGATACTAGAGGACTTCATTACTGCAGCAGCCAAATCTCCTTTTAAAGCCAAGATCAAAGGAAAACGTGAAGTATCAAATCTTATGGCCTTTGGGGTCAATTATGACAAGCCTCATCTGCTCAAGCCTTCCCCCATCCACATCCATAGCCCCTTGGCCAGCTCCATTCCAAGACACCTCACTAGGTGCAGTGACCTTTCCAACCTTTCCTTATAGGGATCCTCATGTGGAATGTTCATGACTTGGGTCAAACCCAGAAAAGAAGAGCTATCAGAGACCTTTGTGCCAAATATTCCCTTTCCCTTCTTGCTTTGATTGAGACCAAACTCCCAACTCCCATCCTCCCTCAAATCCGCCAAATCTGGGGCCATAGGCAATGCAGTTGGGTTGCCCCCAAAGCTATAGGGGCATCAGCAGGAATATGGGTTCTCTGGAACCCCACACTTCACTCCATTGCGAGCTCTTTCAGCGACCAATTTTCAGTTACAATGGTTTTCTCCAGGCTTTTAGATGGACTACAAGGGAAATGAACGACGGTTTATGGTCCCAACCTCAACAACCTTAGGCCTTCGGTTTGGGCGGAGCTACAATCTACTACTTCCTCAATCCCCCCCACCTGGTGCCTGGGAGGAGACTTTAATGTGACCCGATGGTCTCATGACTGTAACTCTAACCACACAATCTCCCTGGCAATGGTCCAATTCTCCGATTTTGTCTTCTAAAACCATCTGCTTGGCATGCCTCTTGAAGGTGCCCAATTCACCTGGTCAAATCACTCCCTCAATCCCTCCCTTTCCAAGTTCGATCACTGCCTCATATCCCTTGACTGGGACCAATACTTCCTGGGCTCGCATTCCTCAGTTCTGCCTAAAGCAACTTTAGACCATTGCCCTATCCTCCTAGACGCCCAAGCTATTGCTGGGGCTTTTTGATTTGAAATATGGTGTCTCCACGAATCAAGTTTCGCAAACCTTGTCCAATCCTGCTGGGACTCTTATCAATATTTGGTAAGTGGATGAGCTGGTTTCCGACTTCAAAGGAAGCTACAGCTACTCAAATCTTCGCTGAAAATATGGAAATCCCAACACTAGGGTAACTTCAGACCCAGAAGGACGCTCTTCTTCATTCCATTCAGTAGTGGGACCAACTGGAAGAGGTGGGGCAGCTCTCTCAGCACGAAAGGGACCTGTGGTCCAAGGCCAAATATGAATACTATCTTATTCTTCTCAAGGAGGAAATTTTTTTGTCCTAGAGAGCCAAAGTCGAATGGTTAACGTTAGGTGACTTGGACTCTTACTTCTTTCGTAAGATAGCGAATTGCAGAAAGAGAGAAAATGCCATATCTCACTTGAAAGTTGACAACCTCATTCTCGATCAACCCCGACTGATACAACAAGCCTCTATCACCTTCTTCTCCAAGCTCTTTACTATCCCCATTGGCCCAAGACCCTACATGCATAACCTTGCATTTTGCTATCTACCTCCTGAGGAAGCTTTGCGGCTGGAATGTGTCTTCTCTGATTCATCCTTGCGGCCTTAAATGATCTTAGCCTTGACTGAGCTCCAGCGGGTCTCCTATGGCCATCTTCAAATCATTTTGAGACTCCATTTGAACTGATGTCTTGGACTTTTTCTCTGAATTTCACTCTAGAGGGGTGATAAACAAAGCCATGAATGCTACATTCCTTGCCCATGTCCCAAAAATTGAAGGGGCAAGGAGCTTAAGGACTTCAGGCCCATCAACTTAGTAAATAGCTCCTACAAACTGCTCTCCAAGGTACTTGCCTCGAGACTCAGGGCTGTGTTCAGCCGGGTCATCTCCTCCAACCAGGGGGCCTTCGTAAAAGGCTGGCAGATTCTCGATGATGCTCTTATAAGCCCAAGAGTGTACTCACTCTCGATCCATATCAAAGTCTCCGGGTCTTATCATTAAACTTGACTGGGAAAAAGCTTAAGACCATGTAGACTGGTCGTCGACAAGACTCTTAGACGGATGGCCTTCGAACCTAAGTGGGGAAGTTGGATCAAGGGCTGTATCTCCAGCGATGTATTCTCGGTGCTTATAAATGGGACCCCAAAAGGCTAGTTCTCAGCCACTAGAGGTCTTTGCTAAGGGGACCTTCTATCGCCCTTCTTGCTTGCCATTTCGGCCGAGGTCTTCAGCAACTCCATATCTAGGTTCTATCAAACGAGATTCTTGAAAGGATACCAATCCATCAGTCTTGGCCCAATAATCTCCCACCTTCAGTCTGCAGATGACACTCTTGTCTTAAAACCAGGTCAACAACAACTTACTACTCTTCCTCAAATGTTTTGAGATGGCAACTGGTTTCAAGGTGAACCTCGCCAAGTCTAATGATGGAGATCCACATGGAGCCATCCCTAATAGAGTCTCTAGCTGATAGATGGGGACATTCAGTGGAGGAATTGCCCTCGACTTATCTGGGCCTTCCACTTTGCCTCGGAAAGTCACGGTTCTCGCAATAGAGCCATGTTATTGATAAGTTCGACCCCAGATTCGCTGGTTGGAAAGCGCAGGTTTCTATCCAAGGCAGGTAGGCTCACGCTTATCAAGGCCACCCTCGCCAATACCCCAGTGGTTTGCTTCACTCTGTTTTCCTCCCTCTTCGGTGTCTTCTTTCTTTTGCGCCCTCACCTTGAACGTCAATCCTGTCTCTTCTATCCTCCCCCTCGCATCCAAAGCATGGATCCATATCCTTCCACCGAGAATTCAAGTCTTCTCTTGGATCACCATTCGCAAAAGGGTGCTGACCATTGATCAAATCCAGAGAAAAGGCATGTCTTGCCCCAATAGATGTGCCGTGTGTATGGAAGATGAGGAGTCCAATGCTCACTTGTTTTTACTCTGTCAGTTCGCCTGTGCCTTGTGGACTGCGCTACTTAAACTCTTCTGATATCCCCCTAATCTTCTCAGGCCTTCCTAACTTTCTAGTCTATGGATGGAACAAAGTGGACGAGAAATTTTCGAATTGAGAAATTTGGTTTTATTCCTTTGGTATATATAGGTTACTTTTAGGTTTGTTGAGGATGGAGGGAGGCCTTCTTCTTTGGATTTTAACAATGATTAAAAGTCCTGACTCGGGCTCTGATTCATTAGGTTCCTGAGCCTGAGTTAGCCACAAACTTGGCCGAGTCGGCCCTCAGCCACGAATTGAGATTTGGGAGTGGGAAAGATGGATTTTGCGAGTTATGCATAACTGTAAATATGAGTATAATGTTATCTGCAGTTATATTTCTGTATTATCATTTCTTCTTGTTTGAGGATTTCTAAGTTAAAAAATGAAGATGATAAAAAAAGCTCCAAAGATCTTTGCATGTATGAGCCTGAGTCACTGAATTTTTTTATCCCTGGTTTTTAAATATTTAACTTTTCTTATTTCGTGATTAAGGGCCAGTATGGATGCATGATTAAAAAATTTTCTCACTCAAAAAGCTTTTAAGTTTCTCACATTAAACTTAAAAATACTGGGACTTCATTTTATTGTGTCTATGAACCGCTTGGCTGTAGGAAGAGTATAGAAAAGTACACTTTTGTCTCTCTCTAAACCGAACGAGGCAAGATCTTCCATTTCTCTCTCCTCCGAAATACCAGGTAGGTGGTTCGTCAATTTTCACCTTTGAAGATTCACTGGGCGACAAGGGCTGTGATCAAGCCTGCGAGCCCTATTCCCATTTGCTGAGGAAAATGAAAAAAAGCAAATAAAAAGAGAAAACAAATTCTTGGTTTTTTTGAGACAAAGAAACCCACAAATCTGCTGCTGCTTAACGTAGGGGTAGAACCTCTAATTTGCAATTCCAATGAGGGAAACCAGAACACCCGAGTTTCTGATTTTGTTGGGAGAAAACAGAAAAACCTAAGACCTCTGTTCAATGTGCAGTCCTCTATTGAACCATGAACACTTTAGGTTGAACATCTCACTAGTACCATAAAAGCATGATGGAAAGGAAAATCCCCTTTACTTTGAAACATTATAGCTGCATTCCGAAATTTTATACCAGGGCAAGCAAAGGATTCAACATTGAGAACAAAATTGGAAACTGTCTTAGTTCTCATCTTTTTCTAGATTCCACAAAGCCCTGGTTTGCAGATGTACAAGAGCCCTGAGCCTATTTTCCAGAGAAAAGAAACCCAAAAGGTGAAAGAGGGTTTTTGATATTTTTAGGGAGGAAGGGTTTTGATGTTGTAGCTCTGGGGTGAGGAAGCTCCGTTATGGCTTTTAGGTAGAGATGTTTTGCTTGTTGTAGGTAGAGAGGTTCGCTTGTTGTTTTTGTTGGGGTGCGGGGGGCACGTTTACTGTGCTCAGAGATGCAGAGACACAGAGCGGTGCTGGGGGCTGTTGGGCAAGGAAGGGCTCCAAGAGAGGTAGTGTCTGATAAGCAGAAGCCCAAAGAATGCTGTGAGCAAAAAACATTTGAGTCCGACTAGAAATTTTTTAGATGCCAATTTCACGAAAGAATTGATAGCTTTTTTAATTTTTGTTGGAAAAACCTCACAACGTCCAAACACATATAGATCCTTCGGATATTTTTTATCCACTCACCATTAAATAAAATAGCATATTTGGGTACATACAAACTGTTAAGCCATTTACCTCGAAAGCAGCATCTGAAAAATTTGGGCGTGGTGAAATGTAGATTGCATGTTTGTGATTTATGTTTAAACTGTAACTGCAAATGTGAGTACATTTATCTACAGTTATATTTCTGCATTGTTCAATGTCATTTTCGTAGTTTAAAAATGACGGGGAAAACAAAATTCCAAAGATCTTTTCTTTATGTGTAAACAACAATTAGAAATCAGCTTTAGTTCATCCCATTCATGTGATATCTTCTAATCAGTTCATGGGCAAAGCTTCTGAGTGTTATTGTTTGGTGAGCCTGGAGGCATACAGAGTTTCCGCGTATTTATTGGCAGATATTATGTCGTCAATTAATTTATTAAGAAATAGGATGAGGCTTTTGACTATTGTGGCATTTAATCTGCTTATATGAAATTGTTTTCAGTTAAGTCCATTTTGTTTTCTATTTTTGTTTTTGTTGAAATTTACTAACTTTGAATATTGGTTTTACATGGTAAAACTTTTGGAGCCTTCCTCAGGCCAAATATGGTATGTTAGTACTTATAATTACTCCTTACTTAAAGACTGCAGCTAATTCAAAGTTGAGTACTTTTCCATTGCATGGCCCCTTCTGAGATTGACGATGCATTTTTTATGTTTCTTAGATTACGCTTTTGGGCTTTATGTTCTTGGTGATATCTGTCCTCCTGGCATATGTAAGTCACTTTCTTTGTTCTTAAATTCAAAGTGGTGCTATTCATTGCATCTTTAATTATTGTGCCTCATTATTGTTATGTTTTGGGCAATTCACTGGCAGTGTTTATATACTAGAGCGATGAATTCCTAACAGGAAGAACAGTATTTTGGCTGTTCCAAGTATTTGTTGTATCCATACATTTCATGAAATCTTGCTGATCTTTCTTTGTTAACCAATTTTTCTTCTTTTGTTTCTTTCCCTTAAATATTTTCCCTTCCATAAGGGAATTCAATCCTTATGGATTGATTTCCTATTTTAGCATGATTCTAGATTGTCTAAATATTTAGGGGTCATTTGGATCCATGGAAATATATCTCGATGAAATGCATGCCCAGGAATTGATGCCCTTTTTGCCCTTCTGCCTCTCAATTTCTGGGCACAAAACTTGGATTCAAGTCTTCACAAAGGGCCCATGTTCTGGAAATACAAATCCCCCAAAAAAGTTTGAAGACACATCTTCATGAAATGGCATCTCTATGGAGTGAGATTGAAACTATTCACCCAATGAAAAAGGCCCAACCCATCCACACCTCATTTCTCTCCCTCTTTTCTTGTCTTAGCGAGCAAATACCTTGCTGGACATGTTGTGGACATCCATCTGAAGTCACCGGAACTTCTAATGAACTCACTAGAAAATCCTCTGAGCTTGCCAGAAAATTGCCTGGTACCATCATTGCAAACCTAGTTTTCATGGATTTCAGCATTTTCCCTGGCTATTTCAGGTTTTATAGTGTGTTTGGACTTAGAGCTCTTAGGAAGAGTCATTTTAGGGCTTTATGGGACGCACTTCTCTCTCTCTCTCTCTCTCACTCTCTCACTCTCTCTCTCTCACTCTCTCACTCTCTCTCTCACACTCTCCCCCTCTTTTCTCACCTTACAAACGAAGACCTTGCAGGAAATCTCGCCAGAAATCCATCTGAAATTGCCGGAAATTCTGATGTACTCGCCAGGAAATCCTCTGAAATTGCTACAAAGTTGCCTGATACCATCATTATAGACCAAGTTTTCATGGATTTCAGTGTTTCGCTAGCAATTTCAGGCCAGAAAGGATGAGTGATGAAGATTTTTTGGTGTGTTGAGACTCATTGCTCTTAGGAAGAGTCGTTTTAGGGCTTTATGGAAGAACTTACCAATAACTGCGGCCAACTTCACGGCCATGTATTGGTTGGTTCTTCATTAAATGGAGTGTTGTTCAAATGGGTTTCCTGCTCAACATTTAATGGTGGGGGAAAAGGGGTATAAGGGATAAGAGAGAGGTTCAGGCTCCATGGTTTAGAGAGGAACACAGAGACTGTTAAGCCTCGAGCTTTTGTGAAGCCTGAAACCTTTGTCTTTGTTTGTCATCTTCATCGAAGAAGACTTAGAGAGACTCTTATCATCTCGAGCTCCAAACCCTAGAAGAGAGCATCCACATTTCTTTGCAAAACAGTAGGCATGTAGCAACTAACTTTCAGGTATTCTTGAAATGTATTGTAAAAAGTTAAAAATATATAT